CACCTTTCCTTTTGGATAAACGAAAAGTTGGCGGCGACTCTTGATAACCGCAACATTTGCAATAAAACGCAAAAACCCTCAAGTCAGTTCTCCCACCGTATCACAGAACTGGAGACTCTGCTGGGGAGAATTCTAAATGTGGGGTTACCTTAGGGCTAGATCACCTTTTATTTGCTTACATTGTTTGACTTGTATGCTTTACATTATGTTTCTTTGTTTGGGTTTGAATCCTCTACCCGAATTTGGGATACATTATAGGTAAGTAGCAATACGTTGTGGAAACTGTGCGGGGTATACCGACATGGTCTAAGCAATAGCTACGTTAGTGCGACATATTTGTGGGTACCGGTAGCCTTTGAGTTAATCAAAGAGAATACGGGGCCGCTGAGTGATGTCATGAAACACTAATGAACTTCTAGAACCTTTACTTGACCAACTTGGGCTTTAGGATGTAGTGAGATGACCGGCTTTGGTGCAGTCTGAAGTTGGTAGATACTCGATACTACACTCATTGAGGTTTGGTTTCTTGGGATATTTCGGTCGCCATTAAAGAGGCTTGAGCTGAAACAATAATCAAGAAAACAAATCAGTGATATTGAGCTCCTTAGAACCCAATTACTATTACTAGGACAGGTTTAAGCCAACTAAACTTCAAGAGGGTACTTACCTATAAAACTCCATGCAAGCCTAAAACTAAGGATTTGTTTGCTTCGTTTGTATATGCATACTTGTACATAACATCATGAACACCATATACATCCACTAACTATTTCAAGGATTTTGGGATTCATCTTTGTTCTTGTTTTGTAGGATATGGATTCACTTCGCAGGAAAACTATTCAAGTCAACCTTGTGAGGATCCCTCCACAACTTAAGGAGCTAGCTTCAAGGATTCCTGAAAACTCTCCATTCACCGAGAGACATGGTCGTCTACTCAACTTGGTCACTTCCAACACAAATGAGGACATGATGAAGGTGCTCTTTCAGTTCTTTGATCCTTTACACCATTTCTTCACATTTCCCGACTATCAACTTATGCCTACTTTGGAAGAATTCTCCCAACCTTTGAGGATACCCATTCTCAATCAAATACCTTTCAATGGTACGGAAAGAGACCCAAAGCCAGAAGAGATTGCTCAATCTCTACACTTGCACTCATCTGATATCACAACTCATTGGGAAACAAGGAGTGGTGTCAAAGGTTTCCTAGCAAAGTTCCTGTTTGAGAAGGCCCAAAGTTGTTGGAATTCTTTAGACTTGTAAGTCTTTGAGGAAATTGTGGCTCTCCTCATCTATGGGATGTTTTGTTTCCAAATCCTGACCAACTCATAGATGTGAACACCGTCAAAATCTTCATATCACGCAACCCAATGCCTACATTGCTAGGAGATATCCTACACTATTTTCACACTCGCACAATAAGGAAAAGATGTGTCCTTGTGTTGCAATCCTCTCTTGGAAAGATGGTTTATTTCTCATCTTCCCCAATTTGTATTAAAGAATGAGCAAGGTTCAAGGTGGTCACAAAGGTTGATGATGCTCAAACATTCAGACATTCATTGGTGTTCTCGATCCAAAGAGAATGTTATCATTATCGACCGTTGTGGAGAATTCCCTAATGTCCCTCTACTTGGAATTAGGGGAGGTATCACCTACAACCCTTGTTTGGCCTTAAGACAGTTTAGTTATGCCCGAAGGGATGGCCCGCATGAGATGTTGATTCAAGGTTTGGTATTCGACTACGACAACAACAATCAAGATCTTCTCCAGAGATTCATCCGAGCTTGGAGGATGTTAAACAAGGTGGATAGAAAGACTTTGGGGAATAAAAATTCTATCCCTCTTGAGCCTTACCTCAAATGGGTACGAACTCGTGCTCAGAGTCTTATGATGCCTTACTCCTCCATTCTCCCGGTAATCATTGAGCCTGTCATGGAGGGAGATGTTCCATATATTATCCTACATCCTGACATGCCCACATCTCTTGAAGACCTACAAAGGGATTGGATACAACTCAAGGGAGAGCGAGATACGTTCGAAGCCCAATTCTATGCAAGCGAGAAGAAGGTTTTGGAACTCACTAGGCTACTTCATGAGGAGCGGACTCTGAATGCCTACAATGCACCAAAGAGGACGCGCACTACCTTTTTATCTTAGAGTTTTTTTATTATTTTTCCCAAGAGGCATTAATGTATTCAAGCTTTAATTTATTAATATAACGTGTGTTTCTTTTTTTGTCTAAAACAAATTTGAATCTTTGAAATCCTTGAAATCATTACATAAGCATATACCATTCATCATAACATAAAAAGGTCTTTTGTAACAAGTCTCCTCATCTCTCTACTGCTTATTTCAGTAAGATGGATCTTGAGCAAACGGTGAAGGATCTCCAAGCTCAGAATACGCAGTTTCAATAGTTGCTCTTGACCCTAGCCAAGGGACGAGAAGAATTGAAGACTTTGTTGGCCGAAGAGAGGAAAAAGAAGACAAAGAAGGTAAATGGAGTCTTGAACATGGGAAGAAGATTTCATGAGAAAACAAGAAGAACCTTAAACTTTGCAACCACATCCAGAGAAAAAGACAATCAGGAGGGGAAAGGTAAAGAAACAGTTGTCTCATCAGAATCGAAAGAGGAAGAGGAAGAAGAAGACTACTCTGAGGAACAGTATCCTCTAGTTGATGACAAGTACAGACATCTCGAAAAGCGGTTGAGCGCGATGGAAATCCAAAAAGTGCCAGGCTTGGACTTTGAGGAATTGGGTTTAGTATCGGGGATTGTGATTCCTCCGAAATTCAAAGCACCTATATTTGCCAAATATGACGGAATTCCATGCACACCTTGCATGCCTTCTCAGGCTTCTTGATTGTAGGAATTCCATGTACCAGCTTCTTTGATTTCAGATTCCCTAAGCTTCTGAAATTCAAATGACCAAATCTTATGTGCCACATCTCACTCTCCTTGACAACACTTGTTGCACTAAAACATTCAGAGTCTGCAGTTCTAACATTCATCTTAAATGTTCTGTTCCTTCCTTGTTCTGACTCCATAATTAGTTTTTGATTACAGTCATACAGCTTCAGAAGATTGTCCTTCATGGTAAGTGAAAAACCTTTCTTAATCAGTTGTCTCACACTCATCAGATTGCTTTTCATGCCAGGTACATACCACACATTCTCGATCACTGTTGCTTTCCCGTTTTTTAGAATGACTCTGACATTTCCCATACCTTCTGCATTGAGGTAATTATCATCAGCACATCTGATCTCTGTACTCTTCCCATAATCAAAATTAACCAATCATTCCTTGTTTCCAGTAAGATGGTTTGAACACCCTGTGTCCATATACCACCATTCTTATGAATTCATATCATCAGATTCAAAAGCCAATAATAGCACAGGTTCATCATCAAACTCTCCTTTGGCTATATTTGCTTCTTCTGACTTCCTTTCTTTGTTTGACTAGTAATCTTTGGTATAGTGACCAAAGTTCTTGCAACAGTAACACTGAACATTCTTCTTGTCAGACTTCTCCTTTCCCTTCTGGACATTCTTCTGCCTACCAAAGGTTGAAGCTTCTGACCTCTGACCACTATTAGTTTTCTTTCTGGATTCTGACCAAGTCTGCTTCTGATACTTCTTACCAAAAGTTGCTTTCAGAGCCTGCTGCTCTACTTCCCTCTTAGAAGTTCTCTTAGTCATACGTAACTCATGCGCCTCTAGACTACTTTGTCGCTCTTCAACTTTCATGGTGCTCAGATCTTTGGAATGTTAAATTTCTACCACAATGTAATCAAACTGAGAAGTTAAAGATCTCAATACCTTTTTCTATGATTACTTGTTCAGAAAAGGTTTCTCCACAAGTTTTCATCTTATTAGTGATCAGAATCACTCCAAAGATATACTCAGAAACCTTCTCGTTGTCCTTCATGTTGAGATTCTCATATTGCTTTCTTAGAGACTGAAGTTTCACCTTCTTCACTGATGCATCACCACCGTAACATCTGACCAGTGTGTCCCACACAACCTTTTCTATTTCAGAGTCAGCAATCTTCTCAAACACATTCTCATCCACACACTGATGAATGTAGAATGACTCTTTTTTATCTTTCTTCCTTATCTCCTTCTGTGTTGTCTTACATGCCTCTGTCGCGTCTACTGCTAATGAAGCATAGCCATCGGTGTCAAGATCTAACACATCTTGAGAATCGAACAACACACGCATCTAGATCTTCCAACAATTCCAGTTTTTACCATCAAACACTGGAAGCTAGGAACTAATATCGCTGTTTCTGTTCATCTTCAACCTTGTGCGGTTTACTCAAAAATTCACTAACACAGTGTTTCTCAAATCCGACAGAATCAGAAAAATGTGATTCTCAATCACACAACACCTCATTATTTACTCGTGTTTCCCGTGGATTTCGAACCGGAGCTCTAGATACCAATTGTTGGTGCACAAAGGAGAGATGAAAGACAAAAAGAATATATTAAATGACAGCTACAAAACAAGGAGTAGTGAATACATTGACCTACTTACTAATAGGCTATTTATACACAATATTATGGTATAATAAAATACTAAAATATCCTCTAACAAACTTAATCAACAAGACATTTTTAAAATATAAATTATTTCCAACAATATTATGGAGATCCTCGAGCCATAACTGATCATCATCAACCATACTTGGATATAACATCTTATTACATTGAGTTTAAAGTGAACCAAATTGACAACTATATTTATTATAAGTCTGAAATAACACATGCCTTAGAATATCTTCTATATAAACTTATATATTTAGTTCAAATATTCATCGTAAATGATGTGAAATCATTCTTGTGTAACAATTTTAATATTAAAGATTTCGGAAAAACAAATATAATCCTTAATATTAAGATTAATACATGATCAAATTATAGCTAGACTATAAATAAATATGCCTAACCCCCTAAAAAATGAAGGATTATCAGTATATTGTATGATACATTCACTTACATCAAATCAATTCATCAAAAATATTTTCCATGTTAAACTTACCATTGTTACATCCGATAGCATTAACCACTTCTCGAAAAGTAGAAACACTACATGGAACTACCAAACCATTTCTCCGTTGAAACCCAAATTCATTGTATGCTTTCTCCAACAACATCTTGAATAAAGGATGACAAAGGTAACCAATTGGAACGACGTACCTCTGTCGTTCCTCTCCAACATATAGTGCAAAAACACCACTTCTTTTCACAATTGGATGTTTTTTTTCTTCTTCAAATTCCTTCAACAAGTTACAATGAGCTGGGTCGTGGTCAACTCTACCTACAACCTTCACCTTTTTTACTAGTTTCTTAAGTGATACAATCTTTATCCCTAACATTTTGTAGAATCTCCAATCTAAAACACCTTAAAAGGAGTTTTAATTTTAGGAAGGTATGAAGAGTATTATGTAGAGGAATTGGTTATTTGTGGAAGGTGAAGTAAGAACGACTTATAGCATTATTTTGGCTAAGATAACATGAATACTACATAAAAATTAGAGCCACTTTCTTAGTTTTGAATGTATGACTGAAACATTAATCTCATTTTTTATTACAACTAGGAACATGCGCTATTTCATAACTTTAAAGTATTAGTACAAAAATAATAGTAATAAATTAATTATATTGTAGTTGGTGTGATGTGAGTTTCATTTTAGAGTCACATTTGTTGACTGCAAGATAATATTACTTAATAAAAGCATAAGTGCCAATAAAATGGCGCAAAACTAACCGGTAATTGATGTATTACGTATGATCTTCACACTACTGCAGGCGTATTAATCAATCACGATTGCACCTACTAAATTTGTAATATTATATACTACTACTACTATTAAAATTAAAACTGCAAATGGCATATGCTTTTGAATTTAAATTTTATATTCTTCTGACTACTTCCATCCATGATGCGCTCTTCGCATCTAATCCCAATCACTCAATGTATGGAAAGTTTCATTTTAATGACTATTCAACTAATTAAATAGGTTCTAGGTTGGAAGTAGAGTTGATAAGAAAGAGTGTATTCATAGTTTGTTGTGGTAATTCAGAGTTTTCGATAAGGTAGAAAGAGGTTGTCTTGTAAGAAAGTGAATAAGAGCGTGAAAAGTGGAGTTCCAATGAGAAAAGATTTGAATATATTAGAAATAATACGCTCTCTTTTAAAATAAGAGAAATGATTAGCAACTGAACGCGCGTGATAAGGCTTGAAATACAGTCAACCGTCAGATTAATATAGACAATTGTGATAACGCTTGCGAGAGAGATTACTTATTTGATGGGGAAAAAAGAGTCCATCTATTTTGTGCTAAACGGTGTCCTACATCATTATTGGGCTTCTGCATCTTTGGGCCTTATGGGTGGCCCATAATAGTTGCCTCACAAGCCCTTGTTTCTCCTTTGCATGGCGAGAAATTGTGACACATGTCTTTGCATGGCCACGAAATCCGGGGACGTGGAGGTCTTTGATAGTGAAACAACTGACTGAAAATCATCAAACAATGAAGTCGCCATCGAACGTCTTTTATCCCATATGGCGGGAAAGGTAAACATCGAGAAAACCTGAGAAGGGAGAAGTCACGGTCTTGCGACTGAGAGATCGGGTAAGGGAGTCTGTTACGCGAGGAGTAGGTATTAGCATCTCACACGCCAGTAGTACTCTACGATATCCACTCTTATTGTCTATCTTATGGGTGTGTCTAAACTATGCTTACTGTTTATTACTGAGGAAGAATGCATGCAAAAGAAAGAAAAGAATGTAGGGAAAATAAAATTGTACTCGCTTGGGCCCTACCCCAATGCCTACGTATCCTTTTTGAGGAATCAGAGCTACCGTAGTTCGACTCACATGTTTTTGTTTATTTTGTATTTTTTTATGGATGACGTTAATTCTGCCTTCTGCTGCAGCTTGACCTTTGGAGACTTAGGCATTGGCACAGAAGTAAATTAATCATGTCCTTGCTTGAAAAGGTTTCGAGTTACGCCCTCGAGGCAAGATGTCACATTTGATTTGTTTGTGTTTTGTTACCTTGAAAAAGGGTTTAAGTGTGATCAACATGTTTTATGATTTGTTAAGAAAAGAGATTTAGTTTTAAATACGAGGATGCAAAAGGGGGAAAAAATAGTCTAAGGGAGACTAACATATTTCTAACCTAATATTATCATACAATGGTAGTCCTAAGGTTTGGATTAACAAAAGGGAAATGTCTACCTAATGTTAGCATGCATGGCTTACAACCTAAGGTCTAACTTGCATCCGAAGGGAGAAAGCATGTCCTAAGGGAACATGGTATGTACAAGGATAAAACAAACAAGCTAATAAGCTCAAGAGAGCACACCTAGAGAGATCATATCTAAGTTATCATGCCAAAGAAAGTCTAACAAAACTACCCTATAGGGAACATGCAATGAGAGCAAAGTCGTGATCTCAATTTCTAAATTGAGTGACTCATCGATCAACAAGAAATAAAGGAAAGCGATAAAATCCTATAGGGAGCATGCACTGAGAGCGAAGTCGTGATCTCAATTTCTAAATTGAGTGACTCATCGATCGACAAGAAATAAAGGAAAGCAATAAAATACTATAGGGAGCATGCACTGAGAGCAAAGTCGTGATCTCAATTCCTAAATTGAGTGACTCATCAATCAACAATCAAAGAACAAACATAAGCACAACATATATAGCAAATGAAGTGCAGAATGTCTGCTACAGGTCTTTAAACAGCGACTCTGAGTGCATGCTCTTTATTTCCTACTTCTCATGGTATCTAGAAAGTAATAAAATCCTACTTCTCATGATATCTAGAAAAGTGGTAAATAAATGTAGTAAAGTGCGAAGAAGTACGAAGGTAGTAGCGGCGAATATCAAAGCGAGCAAATCGTCAAGAGCAGACGAAAGCAATGGAGAAGCAGAGAGTACGCGTCGAGCAAGCTTCACAAAGAAACAAATAAAGTCATAATCGATATCCAACTAAGATAAAAGCAAACGCGTGTTGCAAATGCAACGCGTAATCAGAAGTTCCTGCACAAAGCGTCACATAATATCACATGCATCAGGAAAACACATAATGCGATATGAATTTCTCAGGACGGTGAGAAATAAGGCGTGTTGCATCAGAAGCGAGCATAAGCTGTGTGCTTCGATCGCATAACAATTTGTTATGTTACATGATCGAAAACACCAAAATATACCTTGCACAATGAACAAACGCGTCAAGAATAGCATGGCAAAGCGGCATGAAAATATGGATGAAAACAAGAAATAAAAAGTATTTTTATTATTAGTTTTTTCATGTAAGGAAAATTCCAGAAAAACTAAAGAATTAATTCCTAAAAAAAACCATTATATTATTCTACTATTTTTTTATTGTTGTTGTCATAAAAACTACCAAAACTAGTGAATTAGTTCCTAAAGATCGATAAAAAAACTAACAAATTTTTATTGATATTTATAATCTCTATCATCAATTTTTACTCTTAATATTATTATCTAGAAATTAAGAAAAGAAGACTAGAGAAAAATCTAAACAAACTCTAAACAGAGGAGGGTGTATGGACTGATCAACTATGCTGCAAGTAAATTCTGAATGAGGCAATAAGCCCAATCACAAAATGAATCTAATAGCTATTTTTGTGTATGATCCAAGGGACCCCAAAAACATGATAATGGGCCTGAAGATGAGATATTTCTGATCCATCCTTTGAACACCATCAATCCACTTACAGCACAACTATTATTTGTTAATATCATGACTAAAAAACTAATCAACATCATTAGGATAATCATAAACAAAATTAATCAAAGAGATACTTAAAGGAAGTGAAACGATGCGTTTCAGGGGAGGTTAGGGTTCAAGTTGTGACCATCGACCTTCCCTGCAGAGATCTCTTCTTCCTCTCCCAATTTCAATTTTCGGCGATATTACCGCCATCACCACCACGATCCCAAACAATTGTCTTCAACCTCACCTTATTTCCGCCTCCAACTTGGATCCGTGGATTCTCGACCTCCTTCGATTTCGATCTCATTCGTTGATTCACATACAGAAAAGCGAAATTGATAAAGGATTTTGGAGCTTACCTACCGGAGTAACTCTGGAAGTTCTTGATTTTGACGATGGAGTGGAAGCAAAGTTCGAAGATGCGTATTTAGGTAATAGATCGTGATTCCTTTACTTCTGTCGTGAATCTTCTTCTTTCCGCTTCTCTGATTTGATTCTGATTTGATGCAGAAACGCTGCCACAACGTGTTGTTGTTGCTATATGATGAAGGATGAAGACTGAACCTGGAGGATGATGGTGAAGACTGAACCTGTATGATGCAACAGCGTGAATTAATCTCTAATTTGATGCAGAAACATTGCGACATTGTTGATGTAGTTATTGTAGAATCAAGATGGAAGAGGGAACTGAAGAGTGAAGCTTCTCGTCCTATGCTTGAAGGTTGGAGATGCTTGATAGATGAAAAAGATACTAAGATGTGATTGATTGTTGAAGATGAAGATTTTGTGGTTGTTGAGAGAGTACAGAGAGAATTTTAGATGGAGAAATGATGAAGGTTGGTGATGATTGAAGATGCAGAGAGTTGAGAGATTGAGGAAGATGAAGGTTAAAGGTGTATAGTTGAAGGTTAAAGGTGGAAAAAAAAGAGTGCAGAGAAGATTGAAGATTCTGGCCAAGATTGGAAGAGAGAAAGTGGAGGTAATTTTTTGAGTTTTCTGTAACTGAATTCACTCCCCGCCTCTGTTCTGTTATCTCCTATATGTTTGTTTGTAGTTCTGTTCAGAGATATTAGGAAATTTTTTTGAGAGTATGTTATGGCAGTTGCCTTTCTGTTTCCTATTAGAGCGGTTAGGGAGTTATGAAATCGGTTAGGAGTTAGGGTGAGTTTCTCTGTGTGATCTCTTTTTTGTTGTTCTGTTTGGACTGCTGTCACTTCTTCCCTTTTTCTATTGGATTTTCTATTATGAAAAAAACGTGATTCCCCACCCCACTTTGTATTTTGTTTCTTCAGTCTCTTATAAGTTTGTTAGAAGGAGTTTTATGTTCTCTTAGTTGTTGAATTTTGTTAGGAATTTTCTAAAGTTAGTTACAGGTTTGGGTGAATAACTCAGATGATGAGCTGCCTTTTTATTTCTGTTATAAGTCAGTTTTTTTTGTTACAGTAAGTTGTTAGGGATTATGACTGTTATGCGGTTAGAGAGTTGGTTACTGATTCGGGCAATTTTTAATAGCTAGAAACATTTACAGTTGGCATGGTTGGAAATTTGGTTATGTAGGGTAGTTAGGTTAGACAGTTATTGGTTTCCTATTGGGAACTAGTTAGGGAAAGTTGTGGGTTTCT